CCTTTGGCTACTTTGCCCGTTTTAGTGTCTTTCTCTTCAATGCGACAGCGGGATAGAAAACGTGTTGCAATGCCTTGCTTTTCCCGGGAAATCCAGATCCGATTGTCTTTGAGGCTAGGAGGTCCTGTTGTTCCATTGGTTTGCGGTGTCATAAGGCGAGATAATCTCCTAGCGTGGTGCAAGTTGTGTACGAACCTTGACGAGCTAAAATCTGAATGAACGGCAGAGAAATGTCTAGACAAACAACAGGTAACCCAAGCGTAATATAAGAGTTTATATGGAGAACTGTGGCTAAAATATAAGAGTTTGCATGGAGATCAGGAGTTGACATTAAATTCGTTTAATGTATGGGTAATTTACCGAATAAAGGCTCTTGAACATTCAATGTGTCATTTGTTCTCATCCTGGAGAGTTTAAACGAGATTTGAACGAATTTTGAAAGATTTGTCCTACGGTGTTATAACAAACTCTGGCCAGTTTGACGACAAAATACTCTTCGGAAACGAGTCAAATTTGCACACAAAAATAGCATTTACTCACAATATTTCTCGCTGAACTCACTATGTAAGGCCTGTAGTTTCTCTCTCTGCAATCCATAGGCCATACAAACTCTTATATTTTAGCCACAGTTCTCCATACAAACTAGTCTTATATTACGCTTCGGTTACCTGTGGACAAACGAGTGCGAAGCAAACAAACGCCCAAACACAAGCTAGGCAACCGAACAAACAGATGGTCGAAATAAAGTGCAGGTCGGACGCTCGCTGTCCAGGTAGCAAAAAGCAGTTTAAGCAGCAATGGCAACAACACCAAAGACAACGTCGATTAAAAAACGACTTAATATTGAACTTACAAATCTCGCGAGAATTTAGATTCATTCAGCATGTCTATACTGTCAGAAATATGCAACGCAGCGTCTAAATTCTCGCGAGATTTGTAGGTTCAATATTATTAAGTCGTTTTTTAATCGACGTTGTCTTTGGCGTTGTTGCCACTGCTGCTTAAACTGCCGTTTAATCGGTTTTAGGGAGTTTGATTAAGCTGAGCACAGTACATAGCGCTGATCTGATCAATCCTGGTTTTCTTCAAATTTTTTCCTGAATTTTATCTAAAATTATTAAGATGATTATTCCCTACAGCCAAACAAACACATCAGTGGTAAAACACATTGCGGCCGAGAGCCGTACTCAAAAAACGGATTGGCGTACGCGTTCGCGTGCGTTTGACATTTCAGGCACAAAACGCCACAAAAAAAGCTTGAAAAGTTGCCAAAGTGTTGAATGTTAACATTTAACGTTGTTTTACGCTGTAACAAAAAGCTTGAAAAATTACCAAAGATGGAAACTTCTGAGCGGCCCGTACTGAGAAAATCCGGATTGCTGAAGCGCATGCGATTAGGCAATCAGTTTCAAGAATTTAGGACTCCGGACGGCTGAGCTAAAGAAAAAATAAGCCCAGTCAATAATTTGGCTTTCAACGGTTTCTAACAGTCTGCACTTCTTATTAATTTGAAGTCCGGCGCAATGCCACTCTTGGAATTGTTTTGAATCGTGGACCAAAACAAGCCGCCATCCAATTTGGCGTCTCACGGTGCGAGGTCGATCTGTTTTAGTGAAATTATTACAGTCGAACTTCTACATAACGGTCACCTTAGGGACAGAGGAAAGTGTCGTTGTCGAGAGGTGGCCGTTATGGGGAGTCAGGGGTGTATTATGGTATTGGTTTTTTTTCGTGGGGTTAAAGATCAGCGATTTCATCTCAATCAAAAAATGCTAAGTGTAGCATGTAAATACGCTACATAATCAAAATGTATCGATAAAACAGAAACCAAACAGAAACGGAGACAAACGACGTGTGCTATGGATCAAGTTTTGAGCGTGACCTTTTCCAATAAAGAATGGGGTTTTGTATACACTGTTCGTCAGTCGCTCATCAACTGGCCGCTGGCGAGAGGATTTTTCGGCAATTGGGACGCTGCATGAAGTTGTAGAGAGGTGGCCGTTGTAGAAAGTTTAGAATAAGGGTGAATGTATGGACTGTCCGCCCGTGGGGGGGGGGG